ATCGCATTATGTGATACTTCAAGTGTGGGTTCACACATCTATATTTCAATATTTAAAAAAAATAAAAATTACTATATATAATCTCGGGAGGGAACCATGGATTCACGTGAACCCGGTGACCCCCTTAGATACGCCTCTAATATCAATATAATTAATATCAATATTATTAATGATAATATTCGTAATACATCATATTCAACCCTATAATTTATTCGATTGGTAAAGAGTATAGAGGGAGTACATACAAAAGAAATGTGAAAAAAATGTTAGAAGAATTGTCCTATTTTATTTTTTTTGTTTGACAGATATAGGCGCCAAAATAGAGCCTTATTGAGAAAGACAGCGGGTCCCAAACAAACCATGTGGTACCTCTTGCTCTTATATCACTAGTATTTGCTAGTAGTAATCTTCTTCACAAAACAATTTCAAATTTTATTCTCTTTCTGATAAGCTTCAATGGCTGCATTAACCTCCGTTTCACTATCATTTCGTATATCTAACCTTCAAACTCGAACAAATTACAGACAATTGCCTATTATACGCGCATCATCTGCATCAGCATCAGCTATGCCTTCTCATGAATCATCAAGTGAAAGTACTGTACTAACATCACCAGTAGTGCCCTTTGTTGAGCCCTCTAAGACCCCTCAAAATGGACTTGTTAGATTTGTTCAGAACACTGAGTCAACTGTTGAAATGGTACAAAAAATTGATGTATTATTACTACTCGTTGTTCATATGAACATAAATTGATATCTAAATTTGAACAGGCCATATTTGACTTCCGCTTTCTGGCGTTCTTTGCTATTGGAGGTTCATTGGCTGGTTCACTGCTCTGCTTCCTCAATGTAATTCCTCATTGCTTAGTTTGTTTTTAACGAGTAGCTTTAATCTAAACCCTTGTGTATTTGTCTTAAGAAGTTCATTGAATATTTAGAAATTAAGTATTCTTTTAGAACATAGTAAATTAAAAGAATAAAAATCTCAAACTCATAAGTTTCAAATTCTGACTCTGCCTCTTACTTGTTGTTTTTTGACCATATATAATCTAAAGATTTAGATCGATAAGATGTTGGTTCATTGATCTTATATGATTTTTAGATGCTTTTGAGTTAAACTTTACGAGCTCTTTTTTATGCGATGAAAATTGCATGTTGAAAATCAGACTAACAGTAATCCATTTGTAACTTAGGTGTAAAACATTGATTTTCTGTCTATAGTTTACTAAATACAGTTATCCTAAGCTAATTATTTATTTAGGTACATTTATGTTTTTGTAAGCCTTTCTCTAGTGTTTTAAGGCATTGAACATGCATTGGTTTTGCTTCATACGCTTAATTATTGACTAATCTGTGCATTATTCTTCCTTATAATTAATACATGTCATTATCAAATAAGAGGTAATGCAACTTTACGGGTTCTATCCATTGTTTTTACAGTTAAATTCCCTTTTGTAGGGTTGTATCTACATTATTGACGCTTACAAGGTTTATTGGACGAGCTGTGTCAAAGGAATTCACACAGGACAGATGGTTCTGCGGTTGGTTGAAGCTATAGGTGAGTTTCTGAAATGATCTCTGATTTCTTAAAGATCATCATGCTTGTAATCAGAAAAATCGTAGAAGAGGTACCTCAGTGAGGGGAGACATTCAATGATTGCACAGATATTTTGATTTCGAGATGAAAGCTTATCAGCACTTTAGAACTGTATTAGAATGTCAAGCAGGGTGATATAGTACTTCATTGTAGTATTCCTTTAGTGATCCTGAGTTTATTTTCCTTTTAATGCAGATGTTTATCTTGCTGGGACCGTGATGTTCATATTCGGAATGGGCTTGTATGGATTGTTTATCACTGATTTCTCTGCTGATGGGAGTCCAACTGCTGACCGTGCCCTCAAGCATTCTTCCTTGTTTGGGATGTTTGCTCTGAAGGTATAGTGCACTCTGGATCTTCTTATGTACACTATTGCTTTCCCAAAACTGTTTTTGTGCAAATCTTAATGGTTCTTATACTTCCACTACATATTGTTGCCTTCCTCATAAACTTCAGTGTGTTCATTCCTGTTTGATTACTTGAGAAAGAAAATTAGAGATGACATAAATGATGCTGGTTACTTAAGAATTGTTTAAACTTGCTAGTAGTCTGCTAAAGATTGTGGTACTCTCAGAACTACAATGCATTCTGTTTGGCTGAAGATTGTTGTAATCATAAGAAGTATAAGTTTCAGGAAGCAACATTCTTTCTTTTGTAATTACTGTTATGAGTTGTGGTCCTTTGAGTGCATCTAGCATACATCAAACACGAAACGTATGTGCAATTGTAGCCTGTAGGTATAGAGTTATCTGTTTAGTTCTCTGGTTTGAATATTCAGTTGATGGTGCTATGCAGGAGAGGCCAAAATGGATGAAGATCAGTTCGCTTGATGAACTTAAAACCAAAGTTGGACATGTAATTGTTATGATCCTTCTAGTCAAGATGTTCGAGAGGAGCAAGATGGTCCCTATAGCCACTGGTGCTGATCTATTGAGCTACTCCGTGTGTATTTTCCTGTCGTCTGCTTCCTTGTATATTCTTCATGCTCTGCACAAGTCAGAATAAATGTTGACATGTACCATACTGATGATACATGTATAGCCAAGTTATCAATCTTTTGAAATTTGAAGCTAGCATTACAAAATAAAATTCTGAAAACCTTGGATTATTGCTCCAGATTTTCAGAGAACCGAATGCTTCTGTCTCATATAGCTCAGCAGTGTTCACTAAAAGTGAATATACCAGCAACTAACATTTTCCACAGATTGAATAAAAGAACAAAATAACTTTTGAAATTTGAAGCTAGCATTACAAAATAAAATTCTGAAAACCTTGGATTATTGCTCCAGATTTTCGAGAACCGAATGCTTCTGTCTCACATAGCTCAGCAGTGTTCACTAAAAGTGAATATACCAGCAACTAACATTAGGAGAAAAAAAAAATGCGTCTGCCGGGAGTCGAACCCGGGTCTATTGCTTGGAAGGCAATTATCCTAACCGTTGGACTACAAACGCTTCTTGATATAAAATCATACCTTTTTTTATGAGATAAGTGGTTAAAACACACCTAAACTATACCTTTTTTTTGAGTTTCATACCCGAACTATCGAAAGTCTGAGAAACACACCTAAACTATTACATTTTATTTTGAAAAACACACCTCAAGTAAAAATATGATAGTGTGTGTATTACACTCTCTCAATTATTATTTTTTAAATGCCACATAGATTGCCACATGGAAACAAATTCCACCATGTCAAAAGATTAAAGTTTAACTTTCAACATGTAGAAGCATCATTCTCTGTTCTCAGTTGAGTCTCTTTGGTGTGTGAAAATTTGAGTAAATTTAGGGTTTTCACTATCAATTCACAAATTCATCATCGTTTCAAGGTTAGTTACTCATTTGTCAAAAAATGTTAGGGTTCTTATTTTTGTCTCAAAATAGTAACGATTTTGTATAATTTTTTAGGTTTTGATCCATTCCATCTTAAAAGAGTTGAAAGGAGAAGAAATTGACTACATAAGGTACTCTTTCTTTTACTCCTGAACTTAATTTTCGTACTGGTGGCCATTTTTAGCTACTGATTTCATGAACAATAGTTGGCTTATTAAACTTTGCATATTTCAATTGTTCTAAGGTAATGGACACTAAGTACGTAAATTTGAGGTTTCACATCGGTGGTATACTTGTGAGTGAGGTAGGACCTGTTAGTATTGGGAGGGGGGGGGGAGGGAAAGAATATGCCTTCAAATGTTGATATAAACCATTTGTCTATTCCAGAAGTGAATGACTATTGCAGGGATTTTGGGGTTACCAATATAGAAAAATATATATTGGAGCTGCTCAAGTTGGCAATTTGGTAGAATTGGTTAAAGATAGGGATTTATTGGTCTTAGCCAATTTGTTGGTTGTTGGGGGTACTATGGACATTTATATCTTCCATAAAGGGCAAGTTTTTATCAAAACAACACATGTGACCAATGAGTCTTTTGAGACCACATGCAATGAAGTGGATAGACCTAATAAAGAATCTACCAACAAAGCTGGTGAAGGTCTCAATGCACCTTTAGGTAAAGAAATAACACTTATTGATGGTAGAAATCAAATTGTCGGGGTCCAACAATCAAATCTAATAGAAAATGGCAGCAGAAACACAAATGAAGCTGAAGATGAATTGAAGTTTTCTAGTGAAGATGAAGATTTGGAGGAAGATGAAGTAGAAACTATTGTGCATAGTGATGCTGAAAGTGATGAGAATGTTAACTTTTCTAGTGACGAGGATGGTTATGGGAGTGATATTCATGAAGAGCTAAGCATAGTTAAGAAGGATTTGAAAGCATATTTGAAGAAAAAAAA